TTATCTTGTTCTTGATCTTAGGTGGAAAGCAGTCAGTCTTTCATCATTAAGTTTGATGCTAGCTACAGTAAGTCCTCTACATACAAACCTTCAAGTTGTGAACTTTTGAAGATGCAAACATGCGTTCACATGTCCAGTCACGTAAGTTAGTTCACTTGTCTGGTGTACATTGTCACATGCGTGCATCCTCTACAAGTGGTTGTGCTTTTGTGTACTTTACTGTACAGTACTGTATAGAGTACAGTAGCACACTATCTTTATTTCAAGCCCAGGATGTCTGGAAGCAAGCATAAAAGCAGCGGTGATGTAGCTGGTACTGCTAAGAAGTGCCAAGCAATAAAGATGGAAACAAAAGTGAAAATAATTGAGAGAGTGGAGCAACAAGAGGAAGAAGAAGTAACTGAAAAGTCAAAGAGATTCGCAATGAAGGAAATGACAAGGGGATTTTCTTTATTTGAGGATGCACTGTTAGTTTTTGAGACACAGGACCCGAACCTAGAACGGCACACAAAGATTGCAGCAGCCATTCAGAGCACAATCCAGTGCTACCGTGTCATCTATGATGAGAAAAAAAGAGCTACTACCCAGACATCACTGGATCATTTTTTTCAAGTGGGTAAATATAATTGAATGCAGCAAGGAACCAGAACCTGTGCCATTGAAGTCGGGCATGAGTGAAATTGCAGCTTGTCCTCCGCCTCCTATTGCTGACAATTCTTCAGCTCTACTGTCTCCCACCTCCTCTCCCTCCTCCAGTCAGTAACTCTTCTTGCCTGTTCACTCGATGCCAGCCCCGGTATGCCAGCTGTTGTACTGGACTACTGTACTTTTCAAGGGACTGTACTCTAAGATTCAAGATGTTTTCTCTATTTTTTGTGTTTGTTTTTCATATATGATTTGTGTGAAAAGTATTATAAACTCATTACAGTACAGTACTATATAGCCGATTGTGTTAGTTGGGTACATAGGCTAAATTTGTTGAACTTACGAACAAATTGGATTTACGAACACATTCTTGGAGTGGAACTAGTTCGTATGTAAGGGACTTAAAGTATAGTTTTTGATAGATGTTGCTTGTCAAGTTGAGGAAATTCTCCTCTATTCCTAGTTTTCTGAGAGCTTTTGTCTCGAACAGGTACTGAATTTTGTCAAATGCTTTGTTCTGCATTAATCGATATGATCTTGTAATTCGTCTCCTTTCACCTGTTGATGGTGAACTACACTGATTGATTTTCAAGTATTGAACCAACCTTGCATCTCTGAAATAAACCCACTTACCATGTGGTATTCTTTTTATATACTGCTAAATTTTATTTATTAATATTTTGTTAAGGATTTTAGCATCCATAGTCGTGAGATACATCTGTCTTGTCTGTAGTTTTCTTTTTTATACTGTCTTTGTCTGGTTTGATATCAAGGAATACTAGGTTCATAAAATAAATTTCTGTTTTCTGGAAGAAACTGTGTACAATTTGTGTTAAAAAAACTTCCTTTCAGTGAAATCATCTGGGCCTGGAGATTTCTGTTTAGGAAGTTTTAAAATTATGAGTTAAATTTCTTTATTAGTTATAGGGCTGTTCATAGTAGCTCTTTCAGCTTGGATAAATTGTGGTGTTTACTAATTTTCAAGGAATTTGTTCATTTCATCTAAATTGTCAAATTTATGCATGTAGTGTAGTTTGTAATATTTCCTTATTATCCATGTGATATCTGTTATATCTCTTGTTTTATCCCATTTCATTGATGATACTGATAATTTGTATTTTCTCTTTTTTGCCGGTCTTGCTAGAGGTTTGTCAGTTTTATTGATCTTTTCAAAGAATCAATTTTTTATTTCATTGATTTTCTCTATTGACTTCCTCTTTTCAATTTTATTGACTTCCGCTTTTTCTGATTTCTGATTTTCTGATTTCTGGTGTACCCCCTCACCCCCCGCAGGAAAGATCTGAGCTGTGTCATGGAGGTGAAAGTGAAGAAGTGGTTGGGGGTGAGGAAGATATTTCCATCCCTACATTTGGACAGTTGCTGATGGGAGGAGGGGATAGGTGGTAGGGAACAGCCCATGGAATGGAGAAGGGGTTTCCAGACGATCCTGTGCATTTGCTCTCCTTCTGTCTCCAGGCTGCATTGTAGAGTGAGTTGGAGGCTGTGAGGAGATCAGACCACTCCAGACACTTCCCGGACTCTCTTGACGGGGATCCTGAATCTAGCAGGGCTCTGGGCACTGGAGGACACAATCCCCCTTAAACCTTTAAACCAGTCAGGAAGAAATGGAAGAGGAAGCTGAGACTCTTTTAGCCTCCTTGTCCTGGATATGTCCCTCCCACTTTCAGCACTCATCTGGAGAATTCTGGGGACTCCTCATTTGCATGTTTGCATAGGAGAATTCTTTCTGAAAATGTTTACATTTGGGGACTCAAATCTCCTAACTGGGTCCAAGAGTTCTTTCTTGTTTGTGGAGGTAAGGTGGCCTGGACAGCGCCCAGCCTGACCTCCTTCCCTGAAGTAGGATTTGTCTGTTCTTAAGCCTGCCCAGGTTATCAAGGGGGCGGGGGGTGGGGGTGAACACTGCCCACAGCACAGCCGGGCACTCCATCTACTGAGGAAGACCCAGGCTGCCTTTCACATATAACCACGCGAAGGGAAATTTCCCAGACCTTTTGGAGTTCACACAGCCCTTATAAAATGGCATTTTGATGAGCTGAGCATAAATGAATTGGAAACATTCAGATAATATTTCCCCAGGGTTTAAAAACCAAGGAGAAACGTGCTTGGCAAAGGGTCCAAGGGACTGGGCCAAGAGTTTGAAAAATGATTTGAGATTTGTGATGAACTCAAACTACCACCAGTTTCTCTCGTCTCTGCTTCTGCAGAGAGCCCTGGAGAGGGGGCCTCAGGCAGGAGGGGAGAGCTCCTTTCTCTCCCAGGGAGGAGAGAGAGCCACTTTGAAACAATTGTCATCTAATGTGGGGCTTTCTATCTGGGCTGAGTTTGCTATCAGACCTGTACATCCATCCATCCATCCATCATTCCATCCTTCTATCCACCCACCCACCCATCCATCATTCCACCCACCCACCCACCCATCCATCTCTCTATCCATCCATCCAGTGAGTAGTTACTGAGCACTCACTGTGTCCATTGCTCTGGAAAGACAGAAGGTCACGAGCCTCAGCACCTGACCTTTCCGATCTCAGCGTCATGGTAGGAGAAGCTTGAAGACAGGCAGGGTCTACAGGAGTCAGGGGAAGAATGGTACCCCTTTGAGACTGTCAGGATGATAAGCTTGCCAAAGTTTCCAGTGTCACCCTGGTGGGGAGTCAGGATGCCTCCAAGTTGGACTAAGGACCCACAAGATGAGATGCCATTTGGGATGGAAAGTTAAGGAAGGGGTTCACCCTACACTTGAGCCCAAAGCTGTACTAAACCTGCTCCAGGACAGTGGAATCTAGACATGACAGCAGTGGGAGGGTCATCTTTGCTAGGGGAGAGCCCCTCCCTCTAAACACTGCCCTAGGACCATTGTTCGTTGCCCCATGCAGCCTCCACCACAACCCTGTGAGGAGATACTCTTGTCTCCCTTAGAAAAAAGGGGCTTTAGGGTGAGGAGTCAGCCCAGGGTCACCTGGCTGGAACGAGGGGAGCTGGGGCCTCAATCTGGGCTCACTGGCGCCTGCACTAAGTGATGGGGCGCCTCTCTAGCAGGTGAGAGCAGAACCAGGGCACCGGTTCCTACAAAATCCAGGCTCTGCCATCAGGCTGGGGATGTGGTGTTTGACCTTAGCCAGGAAGGGCAATGGCTGAGAACGGCATGTCTGTAAGCTGCAAGGATTTGCCGGCCCAGGGAGGTCTCTTGGTGCACCTAAATCCTTGTTGGTGCGGAAGACAGAATCCTGGAAGAGACTTGGAGGCCGTGGGATCTGATTTCTAATTACACTGACCCATCCTGTCCCCAAAGGGAACTTTTCATACATGGACTTTTTTTTTCTTTCTTAGACACGATTATGTTTTGGGTCTGTGGTATAAACTTAAATACTGGGGAACCTAAGATGAATATTTCAGCCTTTTTTTCCCCTTGCCTATCCCTTCCTCTTGCCATCGTGCCCTGCTGGGCGAAAGGATTCTCTGAGTGACGCCTGCACACTGGCCTGCTTCTAAATATACAATCACCACGAGTGCAACAGCTACAAATGCGGACCAGAGCAGGGGTGTGGTTCCGGCGATGGAAACACCTGGAAAGCAGTGGTGTTTGTGCCCTAATTGTCCAGACTGAAGAATGGCTCTTGGAAAAATTCCAAACAAATCAAAGTACTGTATAGATTTCTCTTGATATGTGCAGTGGTGGCATTACTGGGAGAGTCAGTGTATTTTAAGCCATGTTAAAAAAAAAAACACAACACAATGTTTACATGTAATACGGGGTTCAGTTCAGGCTCAGATAATAATGAATGGATTTTCACCTACACAGATGTCAAGAATGACGTTCGAAAATCACGGGGGATGTGGCATGATTCTTTGTTGAGAAGGACTCTCCCGGAATTCCTGATTTGTATCTGACAAATGCTGTCAGAGTCCCTCCCCCATCATGGTGACAACAGAAAAGGCCCCATCGACTTCCTGAATGTCCCCAAGGAGGCCTTGCCTCCCTTGATGAAACCCACTAGCGTGAATGAGACATTTTGGAAAGTATTCTCAGGTGGGCTGCAGATACCACAGCCTCTGTTTGGTAAAGGGATGCTTCTCTCTTTCCACCTGAGAACACAGGACTGTTTTAGAAATCTAGAAACTTCTGAGGCGCATCCAAAATTAGCCCCTTTGAAACACAACATGTTACAATGGTTTTCCTGGACAGGTGATGTTTTTCTTCGTGTATTGCTCGAAATGAGAAAATGACGGTCACATTCCCAAACAACAACCAACAAAAACACCTTGTAAAACAAACTGGTGCTTTAGAAGGCCAGCTGCTCTTAGCGCCCAAACTTATACAAGTGTTGCCAGTTTCTAAATATGGGGGTGTGAAAAATCATATGTTTCACCAGCCCCAATCACCATGGGGATAAAGGCAAAATTCTGTTTTCAGAATCCTTGGCGTGTCCTCTGATGTCAGCATGCTCCTCGGGCACAGCGTCTGGGTGAAGATGGAACAGCATGAAAAAGTGCTTGGGCTCTTTTGGGGGCAGCAGTTTTGGGGATTCTGAGGCATCTCCAAGCACAGGTGGGATCTGAGTATGAAGGGATCAGGGGACCCTGTCCTTGGCCAGGCTGGGACAACCACTCGTCCCTGGTGTCCCCAGCAGGGATTGGGGGCAAAGCTGGGAGACAGTCAGTGTGCTTTGTTCTAGACTCGGTTCCATCCCAGTTAAGAATCCAAACCTCTTTGGGAGCTGGCCCTTCCTCATCAGGAAGTTTGTCTGCATAATACAAGGTTAGAGCTCCTGCCTCTGTACCTGGCCTGGTGATAGGGCCCAAGAGAACAGGAAAGAAAGGGAAGCTGGTTCCTCGCAGGAAGAACCCCTGAAAGTGACCCACCAGTTCTCCAAGCCTCTGTGCATGCACCACAAGCTGTGCTTCTGTGGTGCCCTAATGGTCAGAGCTACACATGGTTGGAGCTGGCACGCTGGGCCCTTCACGGATGCAGGTAGCCCCAGATGCAAGGCCGCTCTCTTCCTGATTCGCAGAGAAGGTTGTGAAGTTTGGACCAAGAAGGACACCAGCTCTATGTTGGAACCACACCCAATCAATTCACTCTCAGAGATGTGACAGCAAGACTGTAGCCTGAGGGTTTGGGTGGTGAAGTTTGGACCTTTAGTCCCTACAACCCTTAATTCTCTTCCTCTTTTAATCCTTATCCCGCCACACAGTCCTAGGAGGGAGATGCTATGAAGCCCTTGTTACACACCAGGAAACAAGGCCCAAGAAGGTTAAGTGACTTGTTGGAAACCCGCCAAGTCCCAAGGAGAGGCACCAAGATGCAGCCTGCTTCCAAGCCTGCAGCAGAGCTTCGCTTTCTGGAACCTGGCAGAATCAGCCTGTTCTGATGATGACAAACCTGGAGACCCAGGTTCTGGGACCTGCTGGCCGGGGAAAACGCTTCATGCAGCCGCAGGCCTTCCCTGAATGGTTGCAGCTCTCCACTGCCAGGTGTGGCCGGCAGGCACTTCCTGCCCGGTAGCTGGGTGGGGCACGTGACCAGTGTTGGCCAATGAGCTGCGAGCCAGTGATGCTGTTCACTTAAGTGCTGTGTGAGCTCCTCCAACACAGAGGTGGGCAACATTTGGGGTGGAGGTCTCTCTATCTGTGGGGTCCCTGAGGGACCCCAGCGAGCACCTAGTGGTGGGGTTACAGTTGAAAAAAATCAAGGCCCTCCCAGCCGTGGATACCTGTGGGGTTATCTGGTGGAAAAAGCCACAGCCAGAGAATTGGGTATCCAGGGAAAGTGTTACTCAGAGAGACGGGAGCAATTCTAGGGAAACAGTGCCTGAGTCGAGAGATTCCCCTCACGTGGCTGGATGCAGCGTGGATCTAGGTCATTATCAAGGCTCTGCCGGTGCAGGGACCAATGTGGACTTGAGCGGGGGAGGGGTAACATGTTCAGTCTTCACCATGTCTTCAGTGCATTTTGCAGAACGAGTTAACGTATGGTCCTTGGCCGTGTGGTTTACACCAGGGCTCCTCAAACTCTACTGTGCACATAAATTCTCCGGAATCTTGTCGAAAGGCTGATCCTGCTTCAGCCTTCAGATCTGGGGTGGGACCTGAGATTCCCACATTTCCTCTGGTCTCTCAGGTGGTCCCGATGCTGTCGGTCAGGACTGCACTTTGAGGAGTGAGGGTTTAGACACCAGAGCGCCTTCTAAGAGCAGTGAGTGTGGGTGAGATGATGGGGTCAGACCCACCTGTGCAGGCCCCGGTGGTCCCCGGAGCACCACCTGGTGGCTCGGGGTGCCTGGGGTGTTCTGATAATGCTAATAGCTGGTGAGAGACTCTACTGCTGGGCCTGCACAAACAGGTTTCAGAGTAGGCTGGGTTTTATTTTGCTCTCTGAAATTTGGCCACAGAATAGACTGTCAGCTCCAAAATAAGTTTCATTTTCTGGCATATCGAAATAATTAGAAGTAAGAGATCTTTTCCTGCTCTTTTTGAATCAAGAAAATAATGAGGCCCAGTGAACCAAAGCCAAGGCACTGAGGTAGGTGGAATACTAAGATGGCTCCCAAGATCCCTGCCCTGTGCACACACACCTTCTCCCAGCTATTCAATCAGACACTAACCTAGGTGCTGCTGTGAAGGGATTCTGCAGATGTAATTAAGGTCCCCAGTCAGTTGAATTTAGGGAAAGGAGATTACCCTGGGTGAACCTGGCCTAATCAGGAGAGGTCTTAGAAGAGAGATGTGAAGTGTGAGAGGGATTTGAGAAGGAGATTTCCTTGGCTGGTTTTGAAGATGGAGGAGGGTGTGTGTCAGGGAATTCACTTAGCCTCTTGGAGCTGAAAGTGACCCCTGGCTGATAGCCAGCAAAGAAACAGAGATGTCAGTCCTACAACTCAGTCATCCAACCACCTGAATGAGCTTTTGCAGGTTGAATCTTCCCTAGAACATCCAGAAAAGAATGCACCCATCTGACGCTTTGATTTCAATCTTGTAAGATCCTAGGCAGAGAACCCCTCCATGCCAGCCATGGACGTCTCACCTAAGGAGCTGTAGGCTGACAAATGAGTGTTATTTTAAGCTGTTAGGTTTGGGATAATTTGATATCCCCAACGATCTGAAATGGGAAACCAATACAGCCACAAGAGGAGATCTTTATGACCTTAAGGACTTTATGGTGGCCCCGTGCACATGGAAAAGCCGTGTTCATCTTTATATACGGACCTTATGGGTCAGAATTGTCACAGATCAAGTGACTGGAATTTGAAAGGCATCGTTTTTCTACCTTAAAGCTAATTTTGTATGTAAAATTTGGTTTCTTCTTTTTTTCTTGTAGGAGAAAACGTAAGACCATATATAAAGGGAAGAACTGTTATTTCCTTAAAGTGATTTGCCTGGTAAAGACAATTGCAGTATTTTAAGTATGGTATTTATGTTTTTCTGTTCAGTCCAGTAAGGAAAATATGGTTTAAAAAGACTTGGTAAGCACTTACGCTCACAAAGGGAGATGGGGGCGGGGAGTGGAGGCGGGGGGCCGAACCTAGGTCAGAATGCTGTCATACATTCTGTTGACTTTTTCTGGTTAAATGTTATTCAGGTTTCTAAAGGAGATCTCAGTTGCTTTCTTAGTCAGTCAGGGCTGCCATAACAAAATACCATAGATGGGTGGCTTAGACAACACACATTTATTTCTCATGCTTCTGGAGACTGAGAAGTCAAGATCAAGGTACCAGCAGATTCCGTGCCTGGTGAGGACTCTCTTCCTTGCTTGCAGATGGCTGCCTTCCTGTTGTGTCTTCACCTGGCCTTTCCTTGGTAGGTGCTAGTGGGAAGGGGAGGGTTGATGGGGAAGGGAGGGAGAGAGAGAGAGAGAGAGAGAGAGAGAGAGAGAAAGAGAGGAGAAGAAGAAGAAGGAGGAGGGGAAGAAGAAGGAGAAGAAAGAGAAGAGGGAGAAGAAGAAGGAGAGGAAGAAGAATGGGAAGGATGAGAAGGGGAAAGGGAAGAAGAAGAAAGAGGAGGAGCAAAAGGAGGAGAGGGGGAGGGGAAGAGTGAGAGGAAAATGGAGGAAGAGGAGAAGAGGGGTCAGCAGAGGGGGAGGGGGGAGGGAGACAAAGATACAGAGCTCTCCTGTCTCTTCCTCTTCTTATAAGGGATCATCACGAGAGCACCGCCTGATGACCTGCTCTAAACTTAATCACCTCCCAAAGACCCCCACCTCCAAAAACCATGACACTGGGGGTTGGAACTTCAAGATCTTAAATTGGGGGTTGGGTCACAAACATTCAGTCTGTAACAGTGGTTTGGATAAGAGGTATACAGCAGTCAGTTTGATTACCCAGATGTGTTGGGGTAGCATTTTGCATGAGAGCTACCAAGAAAGACTCCTTGGAGGCACATCTTATTCCTCTGGGCCCCTAACTGCAGTCGACAGGGAACTCTGACTTGGTTGGTATCAGACTTGAAAGATTCTGAAGAGATTTCAAAGATGGGACTTTTCATGGATGATCTTACAAACTCTGCAGACTCAACACAGTTTCCAAATAGCGCAACATCATTTATTATTATTACTATTTCATAATTGCCACGAAAATTTGTGCTTTAATGGGGGTACAGATAGCTGATTTGGGGGAGAGTCCATGTTTTTTATTGTTTAATTCTAAGTTCAAGTTTTTCAACAGAACTGCCTTACTTTGGGGGAGCACTGCAGCCCCCTCTGCTGTCTTTCCTCCATCTCAGCTCTCTTGACTATCAGAGGAGGTAACGGCTGGACCTAAGTTTGGGGTGTTGTGAGGGGTCATTTAGGTAAAACCCATGTTGAGCGCTGTCGGGTGTCATTGAGGGATCTGTCTACACGCATGTCATCAGCAGAAGCTTGGGGGAAGTTGGGGAAGGGGTGATGTGGCCCGATTTGAGGTGTAGCAAGCTCTGTCTGTGGTGGAGTGCAGGAGCATTACCCAGAGAAGGGACCACATAGGCTGGGGAGCACCAGGTTGCCTTCAGGGCAGGGGACCTGGGAGGCAGAGGTGAGGGACCAGGTGGTAGATTCGACGTGGGTGGTGCAGAGGACAGAGGAGGCAGGCGAGACTGCAAGGCTCGCAGCCAGGACACGTGGGCAGACGGAGGGGGAGCAGGGGGAGGGCACAGCAGAGAGGGGAGGCGTGGCTTAGGCTCCAGACTTGAGGTACTGGATGCTCCTAAGTACCGTTAGCTGCAGAGATTTAGATTCTGTTGGGAAAATTGTCTAGAGCTAAGGAGAGAGGCAGGGATGGGCTATGGAGAGCCACTGATAACTACACTTTTTTTTTTTTTTTTGTGGTACGCGGGCCTCTCGCTGTTGTGGCCTCTCCCGTTGCGGAGCACAGACTCCGGACGCGCAGGCTCAGCGGCCATGGCTCACGGGCCCAGCCACTCCGCGGCATGTGGGATCTTCCCGGACCGGGGCACGAGCCCGTGTCCCCTGCATCGGCAGGAGGACTCTCAACCACTGCGCCACCGGGGAAGCGCACTGCGGCCGCTTTTGAACAGAATTAGTGCTTTGGTATATTTTATAAGGCATCAGTTACTTTGACAATTTCATTCACTGATTCATTTATTCAAGTATTTAATGAACAGATATTTTATACCAGGAACTGTTAGAGGCCCAAGGATCTAACAGGAAACAACCCCCAAATGTTTTTTTTTTCACTTTGTAATTAAGTTGTAATTAAGTTTACACTATTTCTTCTTACCTTCAGGTTTGCATTCTGCAGCTGTGTTTGATGCTGGGAGGTGACTTCTTCTGAACCTGACAGACAGGGCCTGGAATTGTCCTTCTGCCCCTAAGTTTTCCCTGAGTGGTGAGGGCCATGGGGCTGCTGCCTGCCGGTCTGTGTATGCAGGACGCTGAACCAGAGACAACCAGTCAGTGAATTACTTATTTTGCATGAATCATGCATCGCTCTTTTGCATTTTACAAATCAACTCATGTTAGTGCAAATTTATCGCACTCGTTTTGGTTTATCAAATACCTAAAAAAAAAAAAAAAAAAAAATCGCTCCATTTCCCGAGGCAACAGCATCCTGGTCCCTCCACCCCTGAGCTTGCTTCCTCCTTCTTGGGCTCACCAACCACTTCCCCAACTCAGCACCATCACATAACAGAAAAGCACAAGCTTGGGGCACTTCTAAAGGAGCCCTGACTGCTTAGGAGAAGGCAAGCAGAGGACGGGATTCGGGGGGAAGGTGGGCAGTGCAGGGCCAGCAGTTAAGCCTCCCACAAAGGCCAAAGGCAAAGCTCTATTCGTCTCCGTTTAAGCACAGAACCACTTTCATGGATTTTGTTGAGGCCCGTCCTTACTCTTATAGGGCTGAGATGTGGACACTTTCACATTTGCATTTGCTGATTTAAAATTGGAAAAGCGGGGTGGGGTGTGTGTGATGAACTGGGAGATTGGGATTGACATATATACACTAATATGTATAAAATAGATAACTAATGAGAACCCGCTGTATAGCACAGGGAACTCCACTTCGCTGAACAGTAGAAACTAACACAACATTGTAAAACAGCTATATCCCAATTAAAAAACAAAAATCGGAAAAGATGGCTATTTTGAAAGCAATCAGAACACGGTTATTCTATCTGTGATTCTCCGCACGGTTGAAAATATTTCTTCCCATCTGTCTGGGGCTCCATCACTGGATGCCCCCAGTGGGTGGGAAATGCTAGCATAAACTTGAACTGGCTTGACTTAATTTGCTGCACGGGGTGATATCCATCCCCCAAATGCAATTTTGCAAGCATCTGATTCTATGTGCGTAACCAGGGTTACAATCCCCATTCTATGTCAAAATGTTATGAATGAAAAATAGGGGAAAGTCTTATTGCCACAAAAGTTGCTATGCTAACTTTGAATAGGTAGGTCTTTAAAAATTCTTTTAGACTTACATTTTCTGATGATAAAACTGATATATACCCACCTTCCAAATGTGGAAATCAACAAAGCACTAAGGAAGAGGTCAACATCTCATATGATCCCAGGTAGGATTTGCTTTCTCACCAGTTTTATTTTGGGCATCCTTAATTCACTAAGACATTTCCCACCTTCTTCTCCCTCTATGTCTTTAGAGCAATAATTCTCCCCTGTTTCCTTCTTGGAGTCTCCTGGATGCATCTGTCATCTCTCTGAGGATGCTCTTGCTGAGAGAAGGGTGTTTCCCAGGTAGATGAGCTTTGGGACAAAGCTATGTGGAACCCACCCCAGACTCCCAGGGAAGGCAGACCTTCTTAAAAAAGTACATTCAAGGCAGTTCCCAAGGGTGAAAGAAGGGGACGGACAAGGACCTTGGAAGGCACACCTGTAATAAAATTAAGACCTCCACCTGGTAAGCATGGGTCCAAGTGCTTGATGAGAACGAACGGGGTCCCCCGCTGGTGCGGTGATGTCCCATTGCCGATACCACAGGAGGGGTGAGGATGGCTGAGCACCCAGGGGGGTTTCCTGTGTCGGGTTTGGCCGGCCGGGGTGTTGCCCAGCCTGTGTACCCTGGCATCAATCACTCTTGTATGGCACCTGAGTGCCTGGCAGACAGTAGGGACCTGATAGCTTTTTATAGCCTAAATATATGGTACTTTAAAATACCAACCAATAATTAATAGTATTGTAGGAAATGATGTTGTTTCTGAAGAGGAAAGTCCCCATGCTCCCCCAGCTCCAGAGGTCTGACTGCAAAATCCCTTCTCTGGGTTCCTCCATTCATGTCCAGGCAGGATGGCCAACTGTCTGGGTTTCTCTGGGTTTACCATACCCCTATGTGAGTCACATACCTGTGTGAGATTTGCCACCCACAGTGTGCTCCCAGGGCCACGGTGCTCTGGTGGTCAGTGCAGCCAAAGCCCACGTCCCCTGCAAGGCCAGGTACCAGGCTCCTGCACGTGGCTCCATGAGCTGGGCTGGGCCCCTGTCCTCAGCTTGTTTCTCAGGTCTCAGGGATATTTCTTTCCATGACTTCCACAAGCTCTTGTTTTATCTTCCTTTGACTTATATCTTAAAACCATTTGAGGACTAAAATACTGCCTACCACATAGCAAACAAAAGATGTTGCAGCCATCAAGCCATCACATTACAACCTCCTGGACTCTGAGCCCTGAGGAAACTCAGGATGAGAAAGCACAGGTTGCTGGCCCCAGAGAGCTGAGGTGCACATGAAAGGAATGATTTCAGTGAGCCCAGACTCTTGCATCTTCCCATGCATAGAAAAGCGCTCAATTCCTTGACATGAGATATCTGGTTTTCTTTTATTAACAGTAATCTTTCGATGTTCCAGCTACCTGGTCTTTTGTTGCAAAAACTCGTACATACCCTGGCTTCCCCACCTCCACCATAGACGTGGCACACACAGCCTCCACCACCATCGCTGCCATCACCACTAACGCTGTTGTCGTAACACCCACTACTACTGAGGCAGGAACTAGATGGGCTCCAGGTTAGACATTTACAGCCAGCCTCCTGTTTACACCTCCAGATAGAAGTGACAACAGGAACAGGGTAGATAGCTGGACTCTGTCTCCAGTTGACACTTTAAGATAACAGTAATGGCGGGGGCACAGAGGAGCTGAGTCCTGCCCAGATAAAAGATAAAGAGACCACATATATCTCATTCTCTCAACTACACATGCACAGAAAGCCTCCTTGGGGGTCAGTAAGGGAGGGGGCGCCATCCCATAATAGGTGGTATCAACCTTCTCATGGGCGTCTCTGCTGGAATCCATCTCGGAAAAAAGTTGCACGGCGCATGTCGGGGAGGGCCCTCGGGCAGGACAGGTGTGGAAAAAGAAACCGGATAAGTGGCCAAAGGTAAACAAAGACCCAGAAGAACTGCCCTACTTAAATGACTTAACCGACCGGTTGCTGCTCTCCTCCTCATTAGGGAGGATGCCCACAGCCTTTCTCGCCGGCTGTGTGTCTCTGCCCCGCTTCTGTCTTAAATAAGCAAACTGTTTCTCTGTGCACTCTCCCACTTGTTGTGCTGGGTCTCTGATATTAAGCTTTGTACCTGTGTTTATAGTTTTTGCCTCCTTGAAACATTCCTGATTCCCAAAGGCGCAAGAGCCAGGGAAACTTTTCTTCTAGCCTCTAGTCCCTAGTGGTCTAGTGGCTAGGATTCTTGGTTTTCACCCAGGCTACGCAGGTTCAGTTCCTGGGCAGGGAACTAAGATCCCGCTTCAAGCCACTGCTCACTGCTGTCTCCTTGAGCTCACTTCCACAATCACCACAGTTGCCACCGCTGACACTAATACCACCACCATGATCACCATCATTACCACCGTCCCCCAACCCACTCCGCCCACCACCATTACAGCTACACCATCATTCCAATGATCACCACCACTGACGCCATCACCGCCGCCAATGACATCACCTTCACACGGTTTCACCACCGCAATCGTCATGAGCGCCTCCGCTGCCATTGCTACCATTACTGTCACCACCACTGGTCGGCACGCTCACTCCACATATGGGCAAGGCTTCCTAGCAGAGGTTTGCAAATCGCACTCGAGAAACCCCCAGGCCCTGATGAACCTCTGAGGGGTGGAGTGGAAGTGGGGACGCGGAGGTCACTAAGCAGAAGGGAGTCCAGGCTCACCCTCTTCCGCGTATGGTTCAATCTGGGAAACCCTCATTATTTGCGTTTCCTATTGGAGCTCCTAATCAAATTCCATCAAGGTTCTCAGATCCTAAAAACCGTTTAAGCCACAGCACGCACAGGGCTTCAGTATGTACTTTGGCACATTAATGAGTTTCTTCCAAGAAGCGTTTATGAAAAGGCACATGTAAATGCCCAAGGAGGGCACACAATCAAAGGAGAAATATAGGGGGTCTGTTTGTCACTGGGGAGTGCGGTGGCTGTGGGCGGTGATGGGGAGAGGCCTGGACCCTACACTCCTGGGCTGGTACCACGGAAGGCGGCTGGAAGGAAGTAAGAAGGGAGAAGAAAACTTGAAGGCAGCAAAGTCAAAAACTGTTTTGTTTCTGATGTGTATTCAGGATGCGATAGGTTAATCTCAGCTTGGAACAGCTGGGAGGCTGTGCAGCTTCCTGCAGGACTCGGCGTGATGACAGGCTTTCCCTTCCAGCCCTGCCGTCCACCGCCTGGCCACTCTGCCCCCATGCCAGGATAGGCGGGATTTTCTGGGAGGGTTTCTCCCTCTGCATTCATTCTGAACATCTTATCCTTGGAGTTGAGGGAGTCTTATCTCTTTGGGATGATAAGTCCTGGACAGCTTTACTGGATAATTCTCTCCCTTGAAATTTTACTCTCTGGGGAAAAATACATACTCTCCTTAGATATGAAACACATCATGTTTTATTAAAATCCAGGCTGGAAACAGATCTGAGACTTCCAAGCAGGTCCAGCACTGATGACAAATCCTTCATTAATCTACTCAACAATTGTCTCCTTGCCCTGCTGTGTCAGACACGGTCACACCATGAGGCCAGTGTGAAATCGCCCACGTTCCAGATGCTAGCCGAAGTTTTCTTTCTTTTTCTGCTCCGAGGAGCAACTAGATGGGCATAGGGATGAGGATGGGGGTGTTGAGGCCGGAGAGGGATGTGTAATGAGGGAACCAGACCCCAAGGTCTACTTCTGGGGTGCGAGCTCACAGACCTACAGGCGGCAGGTGGTGGGTGCAGAGGGCAGCTGTCGGGCGGGGTTGGGGAGCTCTGCGGGACATAGAGCTCGTGACCCCTTTCAAAGGAACGAAGCCACTCAGCTCCGGCCAGTCCTCGCCATGGGAAAATGAGAGCCTCTGTTGCTCTCATCTCAGACGGTCTGATTCTGCCCGCCCCTGCCCCTGCCTGAAAGAAACTACAATCTGAATTTTTTAAAATGCAAAAATGCCTGATTTTTAAGCGTTGACAACGTATTACTTTTTAAATGTGATAATACTGTGCAGGTCAAATGTACACATTTGGGAATGGTATCTGGCCTCCAGATAGCTGGTGTGCTTTCTCTCCGTGTTTTAACCAATAAAGGGCTTCTGGTCTCCAAGTGAATGTACAGGGGAAAATGTCAGACTATCTATGTCTAAAGAGGACTTGGTTGGTGAAGATCCATTTTCCCCGACACTGGCAAACCTTTAAGAATCCGCTGGGGAGCAGCCCTGATCTAAGATGCTGCTGGTAGGTCAGGACGCTCTAGGTCCTTTCTCAGCGCAACAAAGTGTTGTGCTCAGAGCATTGGTCATGGGGTTGGGGGCTGGTATTTTAACTGTCACCAAAGCTAATTGCCCCTGCCCCACTCACCTGTTTATTACCTGTAAAATGAGAGAACCGGGTGGGGTGCAGGGATTTTAAAATGTGTATGTGTGTGTGATTAACACTCTTATTGAAAACTCGGGGATTCCCTGGTGGTCCTGTAGTTAGGACTTGGTGCTTCCACTGCCAGGGAACTACGATCCTGCAAGCCGAGAGGCATGGCTGAAACAAGCAAACAAACTCAAAACCCAGCAAATGATGCAGATGCGTTAAGAGCTTCTGCAGAGAAGGCAGGGGGAGGGCCTGCAGCCTCAAACTCCCCTCCCGCACCCCGGGCCATATCTCTTCCGGA